ACTGAATAAAGTTTCCATGCAAGCTATGAAAATTACTACAGGTTCATTTCTTCCTTGTTTTCGTGATTTTATTTGGTTCCACACTTCATCATCAAAGTCTGACATCAAAAAATCCTTTTTCAATTTCATAACCAAAGTTTCCCAACTATTAACTTGTGTTCTGATTTGTCTGAACCAAAATGTAGCCTTACCACTGAATAAGTCACTAGCAGATTCAAAAAGTTCAGCTTTACTAACATGCCTTGCCTGAGCTACTTCTTCTATGCGTTCAATAAATGAAAGGAGATTTTTTGGTTCACCATCAAATTGAATATTCAATTTATAGACAGGAACTGACTTATGAGAATTCACAATTGTATTACTAAAAGTGTTAGCAGTAGTAGAAGCACTAGCTTGTGGTGTTAAAATAGTTTAAATAATGATGTTAATCATCATCCTGAACATTCTCATTTAATTCAGCATCAAATTGCAGGGCTGTAGCATAAGCTTCATTCTTAAAATTCAATACGTCCCTATAATTCAAATCTTCCCGCTGTAACTTAATTCTGTTAATGCGAAAACTGATATGATTTATTCTAGAGGTTGCTCTTTTGTAAACAGAATCTGATGAAGGACCTTCAAAACCTTCAATAAGTGATTTTATAGAATCTAAAGTGGACTGAATTTCTACTCGCTCTGTATCAAAGTTATAAGCTTCATCAACTAAAGTCATTACATTAGTACCACTTTGTTTTTCTTTAAACAGAAGTCTTCCAAGAATTTTACGTTTTTCATCTTGATTCCGTTCAGAAATTACACCTCGAATTCTCAACTCATAATTCAGTTCAGCCTGCAGCAAGTGATTAGCTTTAAAATTTTGATCCATTTTGAATCAGTTCAAAATCAAATATCAAAACTGTTGTTCCAACTTCTAAGGAAATTAATTAAATGTGGCAACACTGTACGTAGTATTGTCTCAGGCACTGTCTGCAGCAGCTAATTTAATCAAATCTTAAATCACAAAACTGGATTCTCAAATATTATGAAACCTGATATGTGTATACTCACCATTCAGTTCATAAAAACCCATATATTTTTTACCTACCAAAACAAAATGTGGTAAAAACAACTCTCCTGGCTCTCCGTCAAACTATCAGCTGTTTCCAAACCATGAACATTTTATTCATTCATCAACAAGACACTCACAACTGTTGATTACTAATAACCTAACTAAAAACTCGGGCCCCCACGTTCGGACGTCATCTTTGCAGCCCTACTTTTATGGAAAATAGGTGCATTGCGAACGGCAGCTCTTCGTCAGTAGGCACTATGAGTTCGAGTTATCAAAATGAGTTAAAATAGCAAAAAATTCAGTTATCTAGCAATCATAAGGTTAAACAAAAAAGATGGGGCGCCACTGCAACTTTTAATTCAAATGAAATGTTACCTGGAAAGTTGAGCAACCAGATAATGAATAATATTAGTTGTTCTCCCAGACTAAAAGACCTAAATTTACCTTAGAGATGTTGTGAGTTGGAGTGTCATGTCAATAAACAAATAAAACAAGTCATATACAATACCCAAAACATTTAATTATGATGATAGGACTCATATATCACATCACAGGTTTTGACAAATATGCATAATAAAAAATATTAGATACTTATTTCCTGTTAAGAAAATACACTGTTGCTATTATGTGGATGAAAATATGTATAAACCAACCTTATATTGTACTTGAAAAATCAAGAGCTCCTGTAAGGACGTTTTATAGTCATAGCAGATTTTAAAAAAATATTGAAAATGGAAGAATTCTACCAGCGCATAGTATACTATGTGGAGGGGAAGTATGTACCTTTCATGTGTGATTTCATCAATTTATGACCTGGCTATGATTTAAAAATGGTCCATTATACACACTAGCAATGGGCATTATGAGTGAATAAAAATGAAAAATAAAAATATATTTTCATGTCAAAAACCTGTATGGTGTGTCCTACACCAGTTATCCAGAGTAGCATTCAGTGCTACCAAATGAAGCTGCTGAGGGGAAGGTTGGCGGAGAGCGGGGTGCTGACTTCACATCCCTGGATGTCAGATGACATTGACAGAGCTGTCGTATTTCCACCTTGAAAATCCATCATATCAGGAACAAACAGGGGACGATATCCAGATTCCAGATTCCAGACTACTATATAGCCACCAAAGGCCTTGTAGAATTATCAGATCCTGGTCGAGCAATGACTCCTGGGAAGAATAGTGCTCCTGGGTAGGATAACTCCCGTTGTAGAACTCCCGGTAGAAAACTCCCGGTGAAAAAAACTCCCGGTGAAGAACCCTTAAATATTTCATGAAAATGAGGTTCTGAATTTCTGGACTGGCAGAGAGAAAAAAACGTAATAATGCGAGACTCACCTTCTATGAAGGGTTAGGGATTGAAATGACGATGAAGGTAGGCACGTGGCTGCCTGGGTGATGAACCATGAAGATCCTGCCTCTTAAACCAAAACCAGAAAAATCTGTAGAGTCCAGCAGTCCTTGTAGATCAGCAGCAAATCCAGGATATCCTGATGTGATCCAGAACGCCAGGCGGTACAGGACTTCAGAAGCCGGTTCACACCACAAAAATGGCACTTGACCACCACGAAGAATTTTCTGAAGTGAGCTCTTGTCTCACGACCAGAAAGGAAATCCCTTCTCCAAATTTCCAGAAACTTCGAGAACAACTTAACAGTTTCCGCTTTTCAAATTGGCGGAAAATTTGAATATCCAAGATAAAAGACGTTATCGCTACTCCCTCCAGAGACTTGATTCTTCCCAGATGTCTATCTGAACCAATCAGAATTGACGACCAAAATGACGTCACACCTTTCTTCACGCATACTCGGCTTGTTGGTTCGACGATGATGATCTAAGGACATATCAATCCGAATCGGCGTTTGGCGCATGACAAGTTTGACACTGTTGACATGGTGTCATGACCGACAGCTAATTGACGTAAAGCGAAATAACAGATCAACTCAACAAGATCAAAACATCAACCTGAATTTATCAAATGCATCAATCAAGAAAATAATGCCAAACGAAGTTAATTGATTCACCATGGTCGATTCCTAGTGAAACCATCCGCATCAGCGTTCCTGGAAAATCCAATACCTATCGTCCTACTGTGATGAAGTTTCAAGTGGAAATAGCAGTGTGAAAAGTGAGTATGAGAATGTCTCTGAAATGGTATTTCATATTACCTTATATTATTTATCTCTTTCAGATAAGTTTCTGTAAAAACCATCCGAATCATCCTTCTACTTGGATCACAACAAAGCAGATATAGCAAGAGATATCAACGTATTTATAGAAATAGTATTTTAATTTATTGTACAGTGTGAAATCTCAGGTGTGTATCCACATATCAGGTTTGAGAATAATTAAATAATATGAAGCAGATTGAGTTCAATTTATGTTATTGAAAAATGTTAACCAAGTTATTGTGACAAAATATCCTGTCAGATGTGTTCAGCAGTACAGGATAGTATAGAATCAGACCAAATATACAGTAGTGAATATTTACATGCTACAGTGTTATTAGGGAATAACAACATAAAAATTGCGACCAATCTGTCTTACTTGCGGTCGAATTAGTTTGTGTGCTTTTGTAGCGTATGGCGTTGTTGTGATAACATTATTTTCCTCAATTATTTTTCTCTGTGCATTTGATAAACAATGGCGCACGTATTCTATATAATGGACTTGTTGACATGCTTTGGGCTCACGGTGAGTTCTGTTTCGACAAAGTTACCACCGCATTATAATTTGATGTTTTTGAACTTTGATATTATGCAACTTCTACGGGCGGTTTTGTCATGCAATGGTGTATTTTGATGGGTTCCAGATCGTGTTGAAAAATACGCCTCATCTTTGTAATCGTCCTGTATAAGTATATAAAGCACTAGCAGACCTCGCAAACGTTGTTTTGCTATATACATTATTTCTATGATATATTTTTTCAGTTCGATATTCATCAAGACACTATTATTATTTTACTTTCCACTTCTTTTTAGTTTCTCTATCTATAAAAGCGTGTTCCTCCAATTTTCCAAACTACCATTTATTTCATCCTCTTTTTATTTCACTTGAATTTTCCAATTTTGGAGAAAGAATCATAATAACCGACCCCTAAAGCCCCAGATGAAAATTTTGAATAAAATCGTCCGCAATATTGGATCTACCATCTTGAATTCCCTAATTTAGACGAAGGAATCATAATTTTCGATCCCGAAAACGACCATTTGCAAATATTGAACAGAATCGGTATATAATTACAAAACTCGTCCGGTATATTGGTTCCACCGTCTTGGATTTCCAAATCCCGCCCTTTCCAAATTTTGACAAAAGAATCATGATCTCAGAGCTCGAAAATACCCAGATAACAATTTTGAATGAAAGAGTCGGATCATAATTACAATACTCGTCCGCCATATTGGGTCCACCATCTTATATTTCCGAATTTTGACGAAAGAATCATAATCTCCGACCCCGAGAACCACCAGATACCAAATTTGAATAAAATTGGATCCAAATAACAAAATCCGCCATTTTGGATCCGCCATCTTGAATTTCTTAATTTTGACGGAAGAATCATAATCCCCGAGCACGAAAACCCCTAGGTACGAATTTTGAAGAGAGTCGGATTATATAATTACAAAACTCGTCCGCCATATTGGTTCCGCCATCTTGAATTTCCGAAGTCCGCCCAAATTTTCAAATTTTTACGAAAGAATCATAATCTCCTACCAAGAATTACAAAACTCGTCCGATATATTATATCTGCCATCTTGAATTTCCTAATGGTACCGGAATAAAGAGTATCCTATAATCTTCTCCTGCTGGTTCTAAGCTACCTCCCCACCTATTGTCAGCCAAATCGATCCAGTAGTTTCGGAGCCTATTCAAAACATAAAACATACACAAACAAACAATCAAATCTTTCTTCTTTTCCTCTGTATAATATTAGTATAGATTACCTAGACATTTTGTCGACTCCTACAGCAACGATGAGACATGCTCCTATCATACAAGCCAGATATATTCCGGAGATGAGGTTGATTTTGAAACTTGAAGGAAGTTTCAAATTTGGATTGCTCGAAGCTGTTGCCATACCTGGACAGAAATCTGCTCCGCATATGTCAACAACGTCTGCAATGGAGTTGACTACTGCACTCGTATTATTCAAAAAAAGCTCAGTGGCGTTGAATGCTGTTGCATTTGGTTCCGAAAGGATATCATCCAGCCCGGATGAAAGAACTGGAAATATAAATAATATTTACATTAACTTATTGAGTTGAAGGGCAGTAAAAAATAGGGGATGAATGGTACTCTGATGTGATTGTATATTACCAGAGATTATACACTCCCCTAATCTCTGATATTACTGTGGCTGATAAGTAGGTATAGTTGTAAACAAGTCGTAGGGGACACGTGGGGAATAATGGACTAAGTCCCTAATAGTGGACAAGGGACTGGAATATTTCGAAAACCATTAGGTCAGAAAAAGTAGTATCCTCTATGTTTATTGTAGTTGATGTATGAATTAGAAAACCAGGACCAATTGATAGCATATTCCGATAGGGTAAGATCTAATAGATTTTTTTTTGGATTATTTTTTGTCCATTATTTACCTCGTGAGGGTAAATGTAGACGTATTGAATAGTTTGTTCATTATTCAAGGTGAATGTCTTCATGTCAATTGTGGACATATACAAATAGTCCACTATTGAACGCCGTTTCATTCATTTTGATATCTTCTCAAATGAAAAAGTTGTGATCGGAATTATAAATTATAAGTGTGAATTTAACTTTCAATTGGACATAAGATCTTTATGATCTTATTCAAATGAAAGGATTACATTCAATGTGAAGAAAATGGATGAACAAAATTCATTATAGGAGCTTTTGAAACTGTATTTGTCAGAAAATGAAGTGGAAAAAAGCACAATAATTCAAAAATATCAAAGAAAAATAAGAAACCCTTTATTGTTGGATCTTTTGGTCTTCACCTTAGTCTATTCTTCTGAAGGTATAGGGTAATAATTAGAATTAGTCCTATGTGAAACTGGATTGTGATATGAATTTTATTATTCGCTAGAAACATAACCATGTGTTTACAAGTTTCTATAATGAGTTTTAGAGTAAATAATATAATTTTGGTTTGAGAAAAATATATGCAAGGAAGTAGGGCATTTTAAATGTCAAGTTCAGATGTAGATCTAATTTGAAACAGAAATATTTTGAAATATATCAGCACTTGCGGTTTTATCGCATGTAGCACGACATTCAAAACACACTATATAAAGTACTGTCGCCAACGGGACCGATGCATGAGTGGTAAATTCGAGTTCTTCACCTGGTTTTTCCACTATTACCCCCCCCCCCCCCCCACGTCCCCTACAGCAGTTATAGGCTATTGTGAGTCAGGCTTGTCAATCTTCATCAATCTTGCTATCGACTTTGACAAGTAGTGTAAAAATTCGAACTATTTTTGTCAGTTACGCGTAAATGTGTACGTGAACTACTTTTTGATAAAATCTGGAACATCTTAGGCAGGTTTACACCATACAAACCTTGTACGACTTTTTTATGCACCCAACTGTACATTGAAAAACATCAGTCATCATTATCTCTCGAACTCGTTTCAGAAAATCGATATAAAGGAATTTATATCCCTTTGAAGCAGAGGATGATGAATATCAGTTCTACAAAAGTGTAATGAGATGAACCATGGTGGAAGTATGAACTTCAACCGGATAATGAAAGAGTTGATTGTAAGACAGTATGATGAATGCTGAACTAAAATTTCAAAGAACCTTCATCATTTCTGATAATGTAAAAATGGTTTTCCCATAAGAATTTTTTGGAATGTTCGAAAATAGAAAAGTTAGTGATGAAATGCCGTAAAATAGTGATAACTATAGTATGAAAATAACCCTTGAGTAGAAAACATGGTTTGACTAATAGCATGTACAGGGTAACCCAAATGCGAGGGGTATCGTTGGGATCTCGTAAACCATAACAGATACGCGGTTAAATTTGGGCAAATTTGAGCAATTTGATGAGTATCGGATCAAAAATCTGATGACGGCATCTTGTAGACAAGGAAAAATGGCTTCGAAAATATCAGATTCATTTTGGTATATCTCTTTTAGTAAAATATAATAAAAAATCTTTCTCGAAGTTTCAAATTGTAAGAAATATTTTTTTCATGATTTTACTATAAATGAATTCGACATTTCCGCAGCCATTTTACCTTCTCTACAAGATGCCGGCAGCAAATTTTCAATCCGACGTTACGTTTTCTCATGAATATTTTTCAAATCTCTTGTAGCACATGAAAGGAAATTCCTATTATGTTCAAAGAACATCGTGTGTTCGTGGGCAGGATGAAGAGAGGAGGTAGGTGTTGGATTTTTTAAAAATTACCATTGGCGAAGAAATCCAAAGCTTTGCTGTTTTATAGACGATGGAGTTTTGGTACAGAGTTGTTCGACATATCTCAAGGTTGACGACGGAAGGTTGTGCTGACGACTGGGCCTGTCGACTTCTTCTGAGTGATATCGCTAGTAATTCGGTGATAGCAGAGTTTTCTGATGGCTCGAAACGTCAGATAATTGTAAAAAAAATGTGTCCGACTATTTGAAAAATAAAAGAATTCATGATGACTCCTCGAAGAAGAAACGTCGGATCACAAATCTAATGATACCATTTAATAGAGCGGAAGAACTGACAATGATAATAAAAAACTCATTTTGTCATATTCACTTTCAATGGAGTCAGGAAAAATTAAAAACGAAATCGCGATTATTCGGTTTTATATCTTCGGAAGTATTACATGGGCATGGGTGACATTCATGATAATTTTTATGCACTTAATCAAAAGGGATTCAAAGAGTACTTCAAATCCCTATTTTCGAAGAAAAAAATGTTACTTTAAAACCCTAAGCACATGTCAAATCCATAGGGATTTGAAGTAAGACTTTTTCCCAGAAATCTGGATCGCTATAGTTACTGAGGTCTTTGATATGGTAACAATCGGCCCCTTCTATGACGTTTTAGAAATAAAATATCTACTGTTTAGTGGCATTTTATTTTTATTCCGTTATTTTTACCATTTTACCCACCCTGAAGTGCATAAAATAGTATAAACACCTCAGGACTAAAGTGTTTTTGAATCCCTCGACAAATTATAACCCTGCCGATGATCTGGCTATAAACTTTTTATCGGATTTAAAATACCTCTTTAGTCCTTTGGTGTATAATGTACTATACCGGGTGGCTACGGAAGTATTGCCTACGGAATATCTCAGTTATTGTATGAAGTGGGTTTGTGAAATTTGGAGCGTCGATATAATGACATAAGAGCTAGAATTTGAGCGTATTGACATGTTGAAGTTAACTTCCGGCCTGACCGGAAGTAACATCAACTTTCTTATTTTAAAAGGAAACCCTATTTTTTTTCTTTTCGCTTTATTCAGCATTCAATTCCCTTTCTAATGACATATCACAAGTTGGTATCTAACCAGAAACTAGATCAGAAAAAAACTATTATTGAAATTCACCGAGTAGGCCGTGGAAGCAAAATGAAAGCCAAAAATTGAGAAGTTGGCTATGGAAACCATACGTCACTTGATAACAGTTGCTACTACTGTGATATTTTATTTTCATTCGTAGGCGTTATAAAAAGCCGCCAAAAAAAATATTGGAAAAATTGGGAAAAAAACAATACTCTGTAGGTCCATAACTTAAATAGGAACATACAACTTTTTCTTGCCTGTACTATTCAGCATAACCATTCCTTTCTAATGATATAATAGAAAGTCATCTTTTGGCTTCCATTTTGCTTCCACGGCCTACTCGGTGAATTTCAATAATAGTTTTTTTCTGATCTAGTTTCTGGTTAGATACCAACTTGTGATATGTCATTGGAAAGGGAATTGAATGCTGAATAAAGCGAAAAGAAAAAAAATAGGGTTTCCATTTAAAATAAGAAAGTTGATGTTACTTCCGGTCAGACCGGAAGTTAACTTCGACATGTCAATATGCTCAAATTCTAGCTCTTATGTCATTATATCGACGCTCCAAATTTCACAAACCTACTTCATACAATAACTGAGATATTCCGTAGGCAATACTTCCGTAGCCACCCGGTATATCTATTTATGTCACGGGGGATCAGTCTTGTGTTAGTTTCATTTCAACCTATACCTACTCTGTTGAATCAATAAATGAACAAAGGATAAGATTTCCACAAGTCACAAAATTCATTTGTGAAATTTTCACAACTTTTACTATGCATTCCGATCAAGTAAAAAATGGATCGATTGAAACAAAAAAATTAGAATAAGGAATACGCATGATTTTTTTTTCAATCGAAATTATATTCCTTCTTCCTTATAATAACATTGGATATCATTCATTAATCTCAAATTTGCTTGTGACTCTAAAAAATTTCATTTAAATGAGGCTAAATATGAAGTCACAGGAAAACGGGTTGGTGGCCATCACTAATATTATGACGTCATAGTATTAGGCCGCACAGCCATAGACTAGCGCGACAGAATGACAAGATTCAGATTGAAAAAAAAAAGAAGAAGAGGTAGGAGAAGAAAACAGTTTTGAACGCCAGAAATTTGAAATTTGAAAATGGAAAATGATAATGTTCATACCAAATACTGTTTAGTGCCGCAATGCCTTTCGTCAACAAAAGTATCACCAGGAAAAATATTCCTTTCATTGCCAGTGGGATCGAGTGATAAAAATAAAGAGAAAAGAAAATAATGGTTAGAGAAAACCCGAGAGAAAACCAGAGGATTTGTTTGTGAAGACCATTTCGAAGTGAGTATACGTTCAAGTATGTCCTAGTGAAACCCATTATACATATATCAATGATTATGTTCCTCATGTTATTAGGAGAATAATATAATATGTGATTTCGTTTTCAGCTTGAAGAAGATATGGAAAACTATATGAGATATAAATTGATAGGTGGTAATATATATTTGAAACAACATGCAAAAAGAAGTCCTGCTTGATCATTCTTATTGTAGATATTTGCTTATTATTTAGTTATTATTATTCAGAATATTGAGATCATATGATTGAGATAGAAACGATCTAAGATAGAAACTACAAGCTCAGATAATCATAACCTCACTTTCTCTTCTTATATTATTTTCAATCTTTCGGACATGAATATTTGACATGACAAATAAAAACAGCCACATCCAGTAGGAAATCATCGCTGCAGTTCGGCTGTTGGTCGGAAAGTTGCAAATATTATGATTTTCAATCAGAAATTATTAAATATTCGGTGCTTAATAATGTTTTTCGGATGTATAATTCGACATCTATACATATTAGTAATGGAACAAAATTATATTTCAGTGTAAAATTTTCACACGCGTATACCCTATTAACATTTGCTGTGACGCTTACCTGCTGAGCTTATGAGGTTCCCCCAAACTTGGGAAAACGAGTAAAACATGAAGAATATCCCAAAAAATCTTGTGACAACGATTTCTGATTCTGTTTTCGTTAATTTGCTGCTGACTTCCGCTATCACTGTCAAGTAAGTGCATTTGGCACACCACAAAGGCCCACCTCCTAAGCCGATTAAGAGTCCAGCGGGTATCATGGTGGAGAATTTCGGATGAAACTGGGCGATTATGAAGGGCATGTACATGACGAAAGATGCAGCTATGGCCCATTTGGCACCCAGCCATCTGGAATGAAAAACAAAACAATGTTCACCTTTCATTTTCTAGACATGATTTAAGAAGAACAGAATCAAAAAAGTGAAATTTTGCTCAAACTAATTTTCACGTTTTATTTTATAATTAAAGCACACTTGTTGAAGCTTTTACGATATTTTATCACAACATATTATGATGTTTTGGGTTTAATCTACAGGGTGATTCAAGTTTTGAGGCACAAAGTGAAATGTGTGATAGATCTCTTCATTTTAATCGAAAAGTCTTTACAAACATCAGTCCAATCTCGATCAGTAGCGAAGCTACAAGAGGTCAAAGATTAATTTTTTTTTTCTATATTAATTGAAATATCTTGCTCACTATTGAGAGTGTCAATTTGAAATTGAGTGAGGTTGTTACTTCCTAGAAATTTCGTATTTTCGTTTTTCAGTTTCAGTTTTCCTTGAATAACTCAAAAATGACTGGAGCTAGTCTAGATTTCTTAACGGATTCTGAATCAAGATTGTATTTGCTGAATCTTCCCATCAATGGTGAGGATCGAATTTGGGACACACTGTATGTTCACCAAATTTTGTGACCGAATTCAAATTTCAAATGTTCCATTTTCACTATGAAAATGAACATTTTGTTATACTGCATAATGAAATTTTAAAATTGTTCATTGATATCTGTTTGATGAGGTTATGAAAAACTTTATACTGCTCACAGATATCTAGTATTTCACTAAAATACATCGTATTTTTGTTGGTTTTTCAAAAACAAAGCGTCTTACAACCAGTGGTTATAGGGAGTTTTGTCCTTAGAATAGGATCTTCAATCAATTGTTAAAGTTGTGCAACTACTCATGGCTCATGGAGTGTATTATCTATGGAATCGATAATATCAAAACATTATGATTAACGATATTTCAAATTGGTAATGGCCAATCTCTGATGTCTGTACAAGGTTGATTAATGTTCTTTTCTGGAAAAGTCAAGGGAGTGGTAGATCTTCGATTGATATTTGGAGCATACTATTCAGTTTACCTAAAGTTTTGTTGAAGAACTACAGGGTGTTGATGTGCATATTGGTAATTATCTCAGAAATTCTTCTAATTCGGACCTCTTTGTTTTTCCTATGGATATAATTGATTAGAAATTACTATAGCAAGAACTTACACAATGAGGGCGGTGAAAGGTTAAAAGAAGACGAATTTAGTGTAGATAGAAATTTGCTTCTGTTGAATCCATTTATACAGAGAAGTGCACAAACAACGGCCAGTGTTGTAACTTCTGAATCATTCGAGGTCGCATTTAAAAAATTGGTGGGTAGTAAGTGTACCAAATTGCTCATTTATTGACAAAACGATATTTGTTCTATCACTTCCAGCTATGCTTCCAGTTTCACCGTGAACATCCTCAACTTTTGATTTTCAAATGGGAGGGTCTTTATTATATTCCATAATCGATTAGGGATTATCCTATAACGAATTCAACGATTCCAGGTTTGATAGGATTACGAAGATATTCTCGCTCTAAGTTTCCATATGATCAATGCCCTAATACACAGACCATCCGATTGATGTCCATTTCAGGTCCAAAAAAGGTTGGGATGTCCATAGACAAGTAATGTACATCCATCGGATGAACCGAAATGCCTATCCAATAGAATACCACCGACACTATCCCAATGGATATCCAAAAAAGTTCCTGATATTCATGGACATGGATTGTATACATTTCCAATGGATATCCATAATGTATCTAGTGGACTAAAAGAATGTAAATGCCATCGCCATCTTTGTTTCGTGTTCTCTATTGTCTGTTCGTCTGTATTCCGTTGCTTGAGTCGTTTATTGTGTTAGCTGTTATTGTATGCAGAAGTTTATATCGTTTGAGGCATACCCATATTATCACTAAAGGATAAGTGTGTCCGTGTTTTCTCATTTATTATTTTTTAGAGTAATCATGATTTATTATTCTCAATTGACCCAATGAGGTGAAATTGCGATAAAATGGTGAACGTTGTATGAATCAACCATTTAAGATGTAGAATTGAATACTATAGGTGAATGTATATCATAAGCAGGGCTGAAAAAGCTTTATTTCAGACTCTTGGGACAAAACTATAGAAGAGAAAATATTGTCACTAGTAGAACATACGGTATATTAGTTATTTAGAACCATGAGGATTTTATAAACATTGAGTTAATCAAATCATCCGTTGACAATGAACTACGAATACTGACCAAGGACAATAAATTCAAAATATTTAGGGGGAGAGTTTCATTTATATTGTTCAAAACTTATACATGAAATGTACAGTTCATGTACAGTGTTTGTACAATAGGTGTACTGTAGCTGTCCAATTCCTGTCCAATAGTTGTACAATCCGAGTCCAATAGTTGTACAATTCATATCCAGTAGTTCTACAATTCGATTCCAATAGTTGTACAATGCATGCCCAATAGTTGTACAATTCATATCCAATAGTTATGTCAAATAATTATGAAATTCATGTACAGTAGTTGTACAGTAGATGTATAGGATATATAGGTGACCTCTGGATTTACAATGGATGTCTATGGAAATTATGACTTGGTACCCCCAATTTTTTCGGAATCCTATCTCGAATGATTCAAAAGTGACATCAGCACTGGTCGTTTTTGGTGCACTTCTTTGTATAATTTGAGTTACCTATAGTAATTCAGAATTCACGAGAATAAGGATATGCTCTGTATGAAATCGTTATTGACAAAATCGACCAGTAAAAACAACTGAGAACTATTTAGAATTTCAATCGACACTTGTTGTTTCTCAAGGTGAATTTGTTCAGTCCAGAATCAAATATGTTCATTTTCAGTATGAAAATAGTTTATATCAATCTATAAAGTTGAAAAAGTCAATCCAAACTGTTTTTAACTGGCGAAGTAACTTTATTCAGACAAAAAACATTCTCACTTGATGACCATCACCGGAAGAAAAATATTGGACAGCAGAAGCGATCCGTAAATGGCAGCCAATGTGAAAGTCCCGAGGGATGCTTCAGAATTGACAGAACTCTGCAAATTGGAGGCTCCCCAGAATGCAGTGAAGTGGATCATGAAGGCGAAACCAATCAGGAGCACGTTTTTCCAAATGCGGCATTGTTCTTTTTGCGTGAACTCTTCCTCGTCGGTGTCTGTTGTTTTGACTCTTTGGAATTTGGAGTCCATGGTTTCTTGATTCCTAAAAAAATATGTAAGATTCTATCAAAATATAAAGTAAATTTCTGCACCCAATGTTTTCTATAAGACCATAGGACAAAAGATTTACATCTATCTAGGACCTAAACTGTTCAATTCCCTACCCTCAACTATTCAAAACAAAAAATCTACTAGAGTGTTGAAAAAAAAAGTGATTGGCCATATATCAAATGTGTCTCACGAACATATGCATTTTTATATTTTAGAATACGCTCTCTTCATTTAAGATATATTCAGCAATTCAGTGTTGCCGCTTCTATCAAAAAGTAGCAACAACTTTGTTATTTCAAATAAAATACCCTGTATTTAATTGAATTTTTAGATTCTTCCTGAAGAGCTAATTTCATCGACTTGGGGTCTATTGGAAATGATTACAGAGATAACGGGTGTTCAAAATCGAGATTTCTCAACTGTAGTGATTGATTGTGTCGAAACTAATCATTGTCGAAACAGATACAGGGTGATCAGAATTCTGAATCTTGAACCTAATGGAACGGATTTTACATCAGAGCCGATCATCATGCTGTGTAAGCCTCTTTATCTGCAATATAGTATTTAGACAAATCCACCTCTTATAATTAGAAATATATACTAATGAAACTATCATTTTCATGACTGTATACAATATTTATCGATCTTGCTTCCTGATATTGTCCCAACGTTTTTTTATGTAAGAATCATTTCAATTCTATATCTTCCATCAGATGAATTGTTTCTTAGTTATAATGGTCTTCGACTTCGACTTGTCGATTTGAATGGCAGTTTTGGATTCCAAATAATGTGAACTTATTTATCTCCAAATCCATGACTATCCACGCAATTTTATTGTTATAATCTCTCTTTGAATATGTATATTCTAAATTTGTTGGTCTACCATTATGAATGTTGTAGTACGTTCTGTATGTACCTTTCAAATGGGCATGAGCTGATATCTTTCACATAAAATGTGAAAATATTGCTGCGCTGTATAAAATAAAGAAGATAACGTAAAAACACACTGAATCAATACACCCTTCCTGCCATATATCATATTGTCCTGTAGTAATAGTGTTTTCCACTCTACTGAAATGTTAGAGTTTTATAGACCAACTGCTGTAGGTATATATATTCGGGTCGATTCTGTTCGGATCTTGTTATAACATTGCTAAGATAATAATACTGTTATCATCCTAACATATAACAATATTGCTATGAAGTTCTGTATTCTGTTTGCAGAGTAACTGCAAGACTGGTTATAAGTTCAAGTGAAAGCAATACTGTTGAAAAATTGAGAATTTTTGTGCTGACAACACTGTTTTTAACTCATTGCTTAAGTGTTAGGTATCGATTTTGCCATTATTTCATGAAGAAGAAGAGTTCATGATTATCTAACCTGTCAAATTAGTCAGTCCTGCACTGACATTTTACAAAATTATATTGTTCAATTCGAGAGATTTTGTATTTGCTGAATCTGGTCGTCGTTGTGCGACTGGTGTAAGTAATCAATCATATCCCGAAATGAGAAACAACTAGGTGAAAGCCGGATGAAAATAATCGTGATTTTTTTTAATCTTCTAGCAAAATAGTTTGATAAACTATTCATCAGGCAACTGAAATGGTTTTTCTGGTTCTTAATATGCCGAAATTGTAGTCTCATATTTCCTCTACAAATTGAAACTTCAAGAAAAGGTTTTCAAGTAGTTGGTCACAGTAGTGAACCTATCCTATTTGTTTGTAATCACCATTCTGAGTTTTTCAATAAGTCTTCTACGAATTGAAACTTTGAGGAAGGGTTTTCGATTAGTCAGTGACACAACTGAACTCTCATAATGTTTTTAATCCACTATTTTCTGAATTTTCATACAGTTGGAAGATTTTGTAGTGCAAAAACGAAGAATCCACTACCTTGTTATAAGATAGCAAGCACAAAATTGATGTTGCCGAGATAGCAAGAAAGCTGACCAGATGTCATTGAAATTGACAGATCATATTGCCAAAAATCGATGATTAGAATTCCACTTTTTCGAATCCTGCTATGATAGCAATATCTTCTCTACAACCATATTGCTATTTGCAAACAGAATCGACCCGATTATCTATTCATTGCAAACTACAATATATTTTATACTGAGTGTCTCAACTCTCGGTTCAGTCCAGAGCTGAAAATAGTACCATAATTAGCAGATAGACTTCATTGACAAGGTATTGAGAGCCAACTCAATGCTCACAGCATCAAATAACAACACTGTATTTTTTTAGAACCAAAGAAACTGGAATTTGAAGTATCAAACGATTCTTCCTTGAATTTGCATTGGAAATGCGAGATGGTATCGGAAATTATCACTTCAAATACGGTTAAAAAATACTTCAACTGTTCAATGGAAAAATGCAACAAAGAGATATATCTGAGTTGTTCAAAAGCAAATGGAAACATTTACCTCATTTTCCAATGGTAATATCACTCCTCCCAGGAAATAGAAAAGGAGTAATTTGATTATCATTTCAACTGACTCATATTTAATGAACAAAGAAACTAGTATCTTAATGAGGCTTGATTTTTTAATAATTTTTACCCCGGTCACGATACTTCCTTCTCAGTTAGAAAATAAGTAGAAACCAGTACATTTATACAAACAAGCATAATTAATTGCATACAAATTCTCATTATTGGAATTAAACACACGCATTCATCTGTATCTCTGTATTGATACAGAAATGCAAAGTGACTAATATGGAAATGTATAGGTATTGTTCCACATCACATATGCATGAAGGTTGAATAAATCCTTTCACTAAAAAAAGCATGATCTTGAGGTGACAAGAGTAATCTTCTTCGTGTTTCTCCAGTAGTTGCTGAAATAATTTTTTCCTACGACTACTACTGTAAGTGATGGATATTGTACACAAAACAATGGCAGTAAGCTTCTCCTTACACACGTGTGCGTAAAGAGAGCGATCGCACGGTTTTCATAGGTATGTTGATAGATGACTTTGTTTTGTTGCTTAGGCCGCTTAGGCGATGTGTCAATAACAATTAACAATTTCTTTAATGTCACTAGCTAGGTGGATAGGTACGTAGGTACTTATCTTTTTATCAATCAATTCAGCAATTCACCGAAACCGAAAGCATCAGGAGAGTTATATTTTTTGAAAATATGATCATTTTCTATTGAGAATCCACAATTTCAGTTCAAAAAAATGATGTCAAGCGATGACGATGAGCAGATTATTTCTACACCACCAGAAATGTTGGAAAAAGCTAGAATGGTAAAAAATGAGTTGCCACCCGCTAAGTCTCGTAAATGATACGAAATAGCACATAAAAAATTCCTGGACTGAAGAATTAGAAATTATAGCGTGTCATTTTCGGAAAATATCCTTTTAGAATATTTTCAAGAATTACCAAATTTCATGAAATCATCATCATTCTGGTCGATATATCCCATGTTACGATCAACACTAAATATCAATCACAATATTAATATAGCAACATATCCCATTTCCTCAAAAGGGAAGGATGGATTCCGAAGTAAAAAATCAAAAATACTTAATGCTGAACAGATCAATTACTTTCTGCAGAATGCTCCTGTTGAAGGTAATTTTTCTAATAACATACATACTCAACATTGAATTGATGAATTCCTTTTTCTTTAAATAACAGGAATAATTAAAAATGATCAATCTTCGAAATTATATTAATAAAACATCTACTAATACGCAGAAATGGTGATAGCTCAGTTGTTAGAAGCGCTGGCTCCGAGCCAAAGGGTCGGTGGTTCAGGGCGCAGCTGGAGAACTTTTTTTATTTTTTTCAATAACGAATACAGAATCACTCGTGCTGCACTGTTACAAATAAATAACCATTATGAATCTTAATTTTATATTTTTATACAATGTGTTTTTGGCTACCTATTAATAAAGCTGTTTAGATATGAAAAACGGTTCCATTTCAGTTCGAATTGAGGAAAATGTCTCGGTATGCAATGTATCAATAAACAAACACAAGGATTGTGATTTGTAACTTTTCATGCAGCTGGCTTAGTGACGGGAGACGTTTTATATTGGTATTCGTTATTTGTGCCTTAATACAATATCTGCACTATCCGGAAGAAAATATAGTGTAGTCGTAGAAAAAGTATAGTACAATTCTCGAGTTGTAAAGCAATTACGCACTTGTGGAGTTACACACTCGCCGCTATGCGGCATCGTGTGTAACTCTCTCCACTTCGTGCGTAATATGCGTTTTACAACTCTGTAATATACTATTTCCGTGTTATTGCAACAACCAACAACCGTTTTACTCGGCCGTATATACGGGTGTCATGCATTTTTCGAACAAAATTGAACAATGAATTCAAGAAATAGAAAACAATCGGAATATCATCAGTGGCGTAGAAAGTATCGTAGGTAGAGCTACCACAACACCCACTGGATAAAATGTTGGAAATGAATTTCTGGTTCGAAAATTTCCCATTCGAAGATGAAAGTATACATATAACGAATTTGAATGCAAAATATTCCATTATTATTTCGTGACTTGCACACCCTGTATCTCGATAATTAAATACTTGAAGACCGTATGTTCGTTTTTTAGGAAATATCAAATCCCAGAACATAAATAGAAACAAGTCTTCTAAAAGCATTATTTGATGTGTAGATGTTGTTTTTTCATCCAATTTGATTACTTTCCTTTGTTAAGACAGATGATGAAAGGTTATACAGGGTGAGTCATAACTATTAGGTCATAGGCTAAAAGAGGATTGTTTGGAAAAAAATATGGCGAATATGCCTCAATAAAATATTGCTGTGTAGAAAGATACCGGGTGTTAAGGTTGGATTTCTGCTGATGATTTCACTGCATATTTATCAATTGTTATCAAAATCGGCATACTAAGGCATAATTGTATACTTACAGGAGGGCCACCTGCATGATTCCTGATGATGAAATCGACTGGTAACTTTTTTTGGCAAACCTTCTTAGTGATATTGATCAGAAAATATGAC